AAGAGCGGCTGGCTGATCGGGGACATCTTGGCATGCACAACCCATGCCTTGTCAGTAATGTACAGGGGGGCGGCAATGACCTGTCCTTGACCCGGGGACAAGAGGGAACTAGGCTGCCCAGAGGAGTAAACCGGGTGCCCAGGCAACCGCCGACTGGGAGGAGCCCTGTTGTAGTCCAGGGGGCGGAGACAGAACGCCAGCCAATGATACGCGTGCACGAGGGTGGGCTGTAGCCAATAGGGAGCTGTGTGGGGCACGCGCGCACCACGTGGGCGAGGTTAGGCTGTGTAAAAGCGCTGTTGTTGCGTTAAATAAACGCAGCAAGATGGAAAACTCATGCTGAGTCTGTATCTTGTAATCCGGGTCGATCTCTTTCAGAGAAATACTCAAAAATATTTTTTTCCGTTGGTCTTAGTGGAGTGTTTAATGTTGGTCTTAAAGTGGACTTTAAGTGGACTGATGTGCTTTTAGGAGTATATCTCTTTTGCTTTAAAAATCGTTTCCCAAACTTAACATAATTCTGTGTTTATCATTATCTTAAGTTAAATTTCTGGAGCAAGTGTTTAACTTGTTTTGGCTGAAAATGAATCTTGTTGTTCTTCTCTGTCTTTAGTTTCCTTTAGGTAAACCAGTCTTACAGATCCTTCCTCAGCACATTTATAACTGAATATACATGAGCTGTTCCCAGATCAGGTTTAGAGACTGGAGTTGTTTTGCTGTAACTTATGCTTTTTAATGTTTTCATTCAATTTACCTTACTTTCCATCTATTTCCTTTCCCTATTTGGCTGCTGTAAGCTGAGCAATTCTTACATTGACATACAGATAGTAGAGGGCAGGCTGGCTGAACCTCTAGGGCTGGAGAAGTACCACCGCAGTGTGAGCAGTTTGGGGAGATGGGAGGTATGGTAGTGTATTAAATAAAGAATTTAGATTTGGAGGCCTTGATGATTAGAATTGAATTGAGCCTGCATCACTATTCAGAGGTAGCATTACAAGCTATCTCCAACCCAGTATCTTCTATTTTTCCTTTTTTCTCCCTCCATTTCACTGAATACAGCTTGGTATGGTAGATCACCAAAATTGCTTATCCTAAATTTATTCTGCCTGCACCCATGGCCTCCACAGGACAGCAATGGGAGGGTGGGGAACATCATATAGAGGAACAGGAGAGTTATGTAAGGTGGAATTAAGGACACAGTGTCGCCAGGAGAATAGGTGTTCAGGAGGCTTGTCTGATGCATGAAGAAGCAAGTTCTTCTTGGGACAAAGAGATTTGGGGGCTTTTCTTGTGGTATGGATATAGAAGTATTAAGCTTGGAAATCAGGAGAAAGTATGTAATAGTCAATAGCTGAATGTGCACTATCCTTCTGGTAGTGTTTTTTAATTCATAGTTTTACAGAGCTATAAGATTTGTGCAGAGAGGAGATTGGAAGTGATGGTTCCCTTTGACAGCTGGAGACTTTAGTCCAAATGTCGCTAGTCCAAATTACTGGACTCTTGAGACTAGCTCCCTGTGTGTGTGTGTATATCAGATGTTTTTGTCTGGGTTCCTTTTCATTTGTCTTTACTGCAGTATGTCACTGTTTTCTATTCCTATGCTGTAATGAAACTTTGTTATGAAAACTTTTCTTAAAAGATATTTTCTTACCATTAGTTTCTTTGTGTATTTGTGTTATCAACTGTGCATGCCGATTACAGAGAAGCATTTTCAGGGTTAATCTTTGCGTACTGTTACCTTCACCTCTGTCCCCATTTTCTTAGCTCCTTTGGAATATAAGCTTTTATGTGTGGAACACTAAGTTTGTCTCTTTCGTAGACATAAAATTTAAATTTTGTACTTGCTTTTAATTGGCTTAAGGATCTGATGTCCTGAGTTAATATGCCTTTACAGTTACGTTGCACATCTCCCTCCCACCCTGTGCCCTGGGTTTACTGATGAGAACATAAAGAAAATGAAATTACAAAATTAGCAGTTAATTTTCTGTTATTGAGATTGTCAAGGTCAGTTTTCAGTCAGATTTGAGATTCTTTGCTCAGTGCTGTCACAAATTGTACTTACTATTTCTAGTATTATTAGATCAAATCAGTTATGGGTGAGATACAGTAACATCAGTAAACAAACAAAAAATAATCTGATTATGCACTGGGCAAAAGGGACTTTTGGTTAGGTTCCAGTCATTGATTTTGTTAACACAAGTAAGTGTCAATGTTTCTTTTGATTAAAAGGGGATGATTTAGGGGTGCAAGACTTGCAGACAGCTTTGAAAGCCGTGTGCTCTGGTTCTGCGATGGCCCAGATCAGTGTCTGAGGGCTCTTGATTTGTTTGCCATGGATGTGGCATGGATTGTTCTGAGCTGGGCAAAGTTGTCTTCTGCTTTATACAGCAGTCCAGCTACAGAAAAGTAATAATTGTTTGTTCCTTTTTAATGCTGGGGGCAAATTTTAAAAGGCAGGCACAGCAGAAGGAATTGTAGTGAAGAAACTGCAAATTTTGAGGTGTATTTTTATATCTTTAGGATCTCATGTGCTGCTGAGGTTGAAGCCAATATCTTGTCTGTAAGATGAGGCCCACTTTTTCTTTTCCAGCCCTCAGATACTCAACTCTGATTATTTCGGTTTATTTAAGTTCGTTCTGTTTTGTGATTTAAATGTGTTTTTACTTTAAATGTTTTAAGTAAACACTTTGAACATTTATATGAATGGTAAGATAACGGCCAAATGATTGGATAATCCATTGCTTGGAGATTACAGTAAGGACTCTGTGGATGCCTATGATGGAATTCTGGGTGATGAGTCAACCTTAAATTGTACCTTACTCAATTAGAGAGTCAACTGTCATTGTTGGAATTGGAAGACATCTGTGTATTATGTGGTCTTTTTCCAAGCTGCTGAATATTTTGAATTACTTTAAAGTGATTTGTGGACTTCCATAGATGTATAATAAGTTGGAATATAATTACAATCCATTGTAGAAAGATTTTTTTTTTTTTTTAAGTATTGTTACTTCTCCCCTTCTTGCTTAGTGCATTAGCCTTTTTGTGTGTGTGTGTGTTTTAACTAAGTTCTCTGATTTAGAAAGTCTTTAATTTTGGATAATGCCATATTTATTTTTTCTTTTTTTTTATTACAGGTTCATTAGAAAAAAACATGAAATAAACCATGGAATCTTCTAAACTGGAATGTATTTCATGGGCCATAGTTAAAAGGAAAAAGAAGACAAAAGGAGATGAGAGAGCAGGAGTGTAATGCCCCTCAGGAATTTTCTATTTTTGTGCTATATCTAAACTCATGACATAATACAACCCCTGATTTACAGTAATAACATACTGATATCTGTGGAAGAAGACAGTTACTACAGACCTTTCTTGGATTTTTTTTTTCTAATAACTTCAGCTCTAAAAATATATTAAGTTTAACTGGACTCCATATTTTATTCCCCCGCGGCCCACCCTTATTTATTCCCAGAATTATAAACTTTATGTGGCTTTGTTTTAACTGACAAGCTGTTTGTGATAGACGGCCATCAGCTGCATGTGGAATATTGATTTAACGCCCTGAAACGGTCACTGTGACAAGAGTTGAATGGAATGCCAAGAGCTCAGGCAGTTCTTTGCCTTGCATCTGTCATATCCTTAAATATTTATGTGTAAATAGTGCAATTATAAATTTTAAAAAATAATGGCATGGGTGAAATTCTTAAGAAAACCTGGGGGTAACCTAGGAAAAGTTTATCAGCCTGGCAGTATATTGTCCCTGGCCCCCACAAAAGGCTTATTAAATGAACCAGGACAAAACAGCTGCTTTCTTAATAGTGCTGTTCAGGTAAGAACATATTTTTACGTGCCAGTTATTACACAGCTCTAGTCCTGTAGCAGCTTAAGTTGTTGTAGTAAGAAAAGTGCTTGCTAAAAGCTGTTTTTTTTTCCATTTGTATTACAGTGTATGTATTCTACTGAAAAATAAGCATGATATTCGATAGTTTGAATTTGGTTCTCCATTCATTAAACTGTCGATTGATGCTAAATGAGCATCAATGCTGCAAATGGCTTTCCTGAAAAAAAAATTGTTTTACGTGCATGAATCAGCAGTAACAAGAAGACTTTAATATTTCGAAGCCTGCTCTTAAGACTTTTAAAACTTACGGCAGTTTAAAGCTGATGTTTTTCTTAAGTATAGTAAACATTATTATTGTTTTGCAAAGTTCATAAAATGCTTTTTAAAGTGGGGCAGTTAGTGCCCCAGCTGATGGGGTGACTACTTATATTGAATAGCATATGTTTTTGGTTAAAATATATATTTTTTTAGAATTAGCACGCAGATCTGTGTTTTTGTGGTATATCAGAAGATGCAGATGTAGCTGAAAGCCTGTATTCCAATATTAGGAAAGTTTATGGAATGATTAGAATATGAAATACACTTGATACCAAAAGTAGTCTGAGTTAGGATTCTTTTTACTGTTTAAATGCATGTAAGTCCCAGAGTAACTTTTTGAACATATATCTGCTTATGCAGTTTTTTTTTACATGAACTGTAGATGAAAAAAATATTATCTCTTTAGTTCTGTAAAGTATATTTTAACAGTACGATGGTATTAGCACAAAAAAGGAGCTTTTACAAGCCTTATTTATAACAGAGAATCTAAGCATTTCTGTGACAAAGAAATGTTAAATCACTTCAGTTTTGTCTGTCAGTCAGAATATCAGCTGCAGCTGAATTTATAGTATAGCTTTTTAATCTAAAAAGGTAAACGGTCAAATATTTCAAGATTTTTAATATGTGCAAAGAAGAGTGCAAAACAGTATATGGTTTGATAATGCTTTTTTGAATATGATTGAGAATTGTTCAGAATTATTTGTACAGAAGGCTTAATAGATGCATTGACTCTTTAAAAATTTAGAAATGGAGAAATGGTATAGAGTTTTATATATATATATATATATATACACATATATACACACACCATAGTGTATAACTATGCGTGTATATATATCATGTTTAAAGCAAAAATGAACAGTGGATTCTGTAGAGCGAATTTTCTGGTTTACATTGAATGGGAACAGCATGACCTATATTCTGTTTTGGTTTTACTGTTTTCCCTTAGGGTGCCCTAAAATTAACTGTAAGTCATTTTTGGTTATAGTTTTAGACAATCCTACTCCTTTGCAACCTACTGATTTTTATCAAATGATGGCTAATAGGTTTCCTCCTTACAAAAGGGCAGTCACAATTTCTCCTTGTGTTCCTTTCTTTTCTGTCTTTTCCTCTGTCTAACCTTCAGAACTGAGGTTCTGACATTCATTTTCAAATGTATCCTAACTCATTTTAGCATTTATATTTATAGTAGGGTTTTTATTTTTCTGGATTTAACAGCTGCTGTACTACTGTGCCTTTTGAAAACTGATTTGGGGGTTAGTTATTTCTCTCCATCCCCTCTTTTACTCCATAAGAATATTAAAACCCTTGCACCTAATCACATAATTTACTTTGCTACTCGTTACATTAAGAATACTTCAAATTTCTCCACCCAAAACCCATTGTTTTGAGAAAATTAAAAATGAGATTCACATTTCAGTGGTAAATGCACAACTTACACTTCTGCCTCCACAGTTGGCCAGACTATTAGAAAAGGGCTGTCATTTTTTTGTAGTAATCATGTTGCTAATGTTGCCCACTTTGTGTGAAAATATTTTTTTTTAAATCAAAATTCTACTGTAGAATTCTGCAGTGTTAGACTTGGAAGCCCTTCCAAACACAATCCTTATTTTTTTGTGCAACTTTACTTTTATAGGTGTTGTGGCAACTTGACATATTTCGGCGGAGTTTGAGAGGCTTAACTGGACATGTGTGTCAGGGAGACGCTTGCATATTTTGTGCTTTAAAGGTAAATATAATTTTCAGATAAGTCTTCGTGTATTTGTTCCTGTATACATCCTACAAAATAAAGAAAAAATAATTTTGCACTATTTGCAGAGTTTCACAGTTTTCAGTTTCAAAATTTTCAGAAAACTTTTTAGTAAGTGAGCATTTTGATTTAAGACCTATTTGCAGTGAAAATTACTTATTTTTTCAGGGTGTGAGTAGTCTACACGTGCGCTTTTTCAGCCATTCTTCTAGTGTGTCACAGTTGCAATATGGCAGAGCTGTTTTATTAGAGTGGGGAGGAAGATGCTGAAAGCTGAGTGCTGCAAATCAGTTGGTAATAATCATTCTTACAGATATGGAAGTATTTTCTACGAAGCATGTTGATAGCGTATGAGGAGAAGGGAGAGGGCAAAAGAAAGGTGTGAAATCAAAGGCAAGCAAGAACTCATATATACTCATGTATTCTTCCAAGCCAAGCATATCATGTGCTCTAACATCCTGTCCTCCTTCCTGTATTTACTGAAGATCTACTACAAAACTACAAAGTCAGATTGCATCATTTTGAGCCATCTCCTAAAGCAGCATGTGAACTTTAGCTGCTTCAAGGGCTGCTGTAATTGCTGCAATTTAGGAGTTGTAATTTTTTATATTCTTTCAAATACTTATTCTTGAGGGATGCAGTGTGTTTGAATGTCTCGCTGGTGTTTTGAATTGCCCTGGCTGTCAACTCTTTCTGTGCTGCTGCTGCTGCTTGTCAGTATTCTTGCTAATGTATTGCTGCCTGTTACACAATTGGCTGGATATAAACTGGCCGCTGAGTTAATAGTGTAGTTGTGAACGTTGTAACTGTGCTGGGTGGCAGTGTGTGCACCAAAACAGAGGAGAGCAGGTAACTTGCTTGGATCATCTGCCCTTAGCTGTTATGTGCACTACTGGTTTTGCTTTCTTGGCTTATTAGAGATGCTAGTGGCTCTGTGTTCAGAACCAGAGATATTTTGGTTTTCTTGCAGTGAAAATTCCAAATGAGGGTGCATTTCAGTAATTCGAGGGTGCTTTTGGAACTACATTAACCCTTTGATTTTGTTTGCCAATAAAGGAGGAGGGCATTTTCTGTTGTGTTTTTTTAACCTTTCCCAAGGTAGTTTGGCTTCTTTCGCTGTGTGAGTATCCTGGATTTTTCTTTGTCTCTACTATAAACTGAAATCACATCCAATGTGTTTTGTTTGACTTATGATCAATGCATTATCTTTCTTTTTTCTCTTTTCTCTCCCCCCTCCCCCATCTCTCTTCCCCCCTTCTTTCTTTCTCACCCTCTCTCTTTTCCCCTCCCTTCTTTCTTTCTTTCTCCTGGTGTGAGCTAAGTATTCTTTCTTTCTCCTGGTGTGAGCTAAGTATTCTGTTCTCTGAATATCACTAGAGCAGGACTTTGAGAGGTGTAGATTGCTAAAATGAGTTTACATATCTGCAAAACTCTGCTTATCTGTTTTTTTAGCTGAACATGTAATACTCTGTTGCATACAAAATAAAACAGCTAGCAGCCAGAGTAAGACTTGTTTAATATTTCAAAGCAGAGTTCACTTATATAATTAGATCTGTTAAAAACTTATTTTCTAATGTTTACATTGAGATATTTGCTTTACTTTTTATCAATAGTCCAAGCATGAGAAAAAAGTTCAAATATTTGACAAGTCACTTATACTGGCATGCCTCATGGTAAAACATTACCTTCTGTTAGCACTGAAATGCTGTATACCTTTTGTTTCTTTATTTCCTCTGTACAAAAGAATTTGTTACTCTAGTCCTATGTAAAGAATATCCTCATTTATATTTCACGTGATTTCTCTTGATGTGTTGTTTTTGTCTTTATTTCTCTTTATTTTTTTTCTAGCATTTATGACTTCAGGAAATACTTGTCATTGGAACACATTCTTTAACCTCTTCAAATTTTCATCCATTTAATTGCTTTTAACTATTTGAGTTCTATTAAAACTGACTTCTACTTGCTAAATAATGTCACTTATGAACATGCCTGTCTGCCAAAATGAAGAGCAGTAGTATGTCTGTCTGTTCTAAGAAAGGAAGAAAAATCAAATGCTGCAGATACTGACCTGTTCTCCTGTCTTTCTGCATATACTGATAAATTGAATAGCAGATACAATGACATTTTCAGCATTTTGTGTAGTTTATGGGAAGCTTATTTACATATCCATCATTTCAGTAAGGGTAACACTCTATTTGAAGTGGTAATGTAAGTGTCATATTATTTAATGAATGACAGATACAATACCTCTCAGATTAGCTTAACATGCCCTATGGAGCAGATACTATCTGTAAGGAGAAAACACTTATGCATGAGTGGCTATTCCAGTGGCTACATTTTAAAAGCTACATAATTACAAACTTGTATCGCTCTGTGAGCCTAAATCAATCATTTGCATGTTTGTATACTTATGTGGTTTTTCCTGCTGGATTGAAGTTCAGTTTGGTAACATTTTAATAATGTAGAGAGTGACAATGACAGCAGAGACATTGAGTAACTTTGGGAGAAACCGATGTATTTCTGCATGTTTTATGTGTTTGCTGTTAGGACATGCTACATAAGAACTGATGTATTTGAACATAACGGTGGTGTCTAGCAAAGTGGCTAATGAAACTAAGTAACCCTCTTTTTTCCTAGGCGATTTTTTCACAATTTCAGCACAGCCGAGAGAAAGCGCTGCCATCAGATAACATGAGACATGCTCTGGCAGAAAGTTTCAAGGATGAACAGCGCTTCCAGCTTGGATTCATGGATGATGCAGCAGAATGCTTTGTGAGTGATCCTTGTGACAGCCCAGGAGAGCCATGTTAGCTTTGTGCTAACGGCTGTATAAGTTTGGGTATTTAGTATACCGCTCCTAAGTGTCCTCTCCTCATATACTGAAAGATGTTTTATTGCACGTAGTCACTTTGCTTCACTCTCTAGTAAGCCTCTAGCAAGAATTCCATTTTCTTATCTGAGAATGAACGAGCACTGGATTTTGAGGCTCTTGAGTCTAGCTACAATGGCTTTCTGCTTTTACCAGGAATCTTGCTGAAAAACGTGAACTGTCAATATGAACATAAAAATATTCAAGGTAAAATAGAACTCAGTTAACCCTCTAGATTTAGACAACAAAATCTCTCCCTCCAGAGACAGTTCTGAGGGCCAAAACGTGGTGGTTACTTTGATTACTTTCAGCTTTGGACATCCTCTGGAAAGACCCACAAATGAATAGTTGCCTGAGGCATTTTTGAATAGGTGGGTAAATCAGAAATGGCTTCCTGCAATCTCACAGGCAGATTAATGAACTGCAGTCACCAAAGACCATCAGGGGATCAGTGTTCCATCTTAGCAGAATATATTTGGACCTCTGAAGAAATAAGCTTCCTAAATTACCTACCTTAGTAGACCACTTTGTCCAACTCCCTCTGATATTTTTGATAAAAGATAAAAATCGGCCATGCTGATTAAGGTAGACAGACTGATCACAATCATAGTGCTATTTAGGGGAAAAAAAAAAGTTTAAAATGAGACTTGGGATGGGATTAAGTACATGCTATTTCTGAACTCTTTCCAGTCCTCTGTCAGCTGTACTCATTTTGCTGCAGATAGCCTAACTCTAAGGATTTGATCCAAATATTTTTTCAGGAACTGTGTGAAATGTGATAAATATCCTGTCTTACTAAAACAACTCTATTTCTTTTTTCTTTGAAAACTCACTTTCTTTGAAGGATAACAAACTCAGGAAGAAAACTTGGATAACTTTGTTTAGTGCTATTTTGCTAATGTTTGGAAACCTTTAGGTGAAGAGAATTCACACTTCATTGTGAACAGGGACAGAGTTAAATAGGATTTTAGCTTATAAGTGGTCATTTGGAGCAAAGGTAAACAGTTGCACAGTTGCTACAATGAATGATACAGTTTAATACTGTAGATTTTGTCTTAATCAGTTCTCTCAAATTTGCATTATTGTTTCCATCTAGGAAAATATTCTTGAGAGAATTCATTTTCACCTAGTGCCAAATAGTGAAACAGATATGTGCACTTCAAAGTCCTGTATTGCTCATCAGAAGTTTGCTATGACACTTTATGAACAGGTCAGACCTTTTTTTCATTGCTTTAATAGATAAATCATTTTCATTGTCACAAGTAAATAAAAACTAACGGAGTTTTACTTCCACAGTGTGTATGTCGCAGCTGCGGAGCATCGTCAGACCCGTTGCCTTTTACGGAGTTTGTGCGTTACATTTCTACCACAGCCCTATGGTAATTAGCCCTTTTAATCTCCCTTCTACCTCATTTTTGTCCTCATACCCTCCCGGTAGTAATCAAGATAGGCCAGGTAAATCCTGCAAGTATTAAAATGAATCACTTAAAAAACACTTCTAAACAAGCAAAAATTGAGATTCTGTGCAAAAGTAACATTTCAATTTCAAAAGCAACTTAGAGTTTGACAAAAAGAATGTGCATTTCTGCTGTTTCATATTGTCTCTGAATCTTTTAGTCATAAGATATAGTTGAGAGTTAACTGAAGTCTGTTTACTCTTAAAAATGATCTACAGTGGAATGAACTTACTTTTTTATTATTATTTTTAGTAATGAAGTAGATAGAATGATGGAAAGGCATGAACGTCTCAAGCCAGAAATGTTTGCCGAATTGCTGCAAGCAGCAAATACTTCTGATGACTACAGAAAGTGTCCTGTAAGTAAACAAAGATTAAAGATTTTGCATTCCTTTGGTTAAGATGCAAGGAAGAATCTTTCAGGATAATAAATCAGGCTTAAACTATTCCCCTAAAAGAAGGATTGCCTGTGGATACTTCAGTGCCGTCAAGCTCTAGGGTAAAAAAAAAGCCTTTAAACTCCTATCTCCTTGCTCCCAGTAGGGATAAACTCTGTATTGTAGATGCATGGGACCTGTTAGAGAAGCAGGGTGTTAGATCCTTGCTTTATTCTTCATGCCATGTCAAACATATAGCGAGGTGTCTTTGATTAATCTGAATGGGTATATTGTCTGAGTGAAGCTGCTTTCGTTCATATATACACTGTAGGAGAGACAGCTGCACAAAATAGTCTTTCATTGGATTAATATTGTACTTATATTCACAAAAACAGTTTCTTTCAAATAGCTGTTACGCTTCATCCCCTTTTTCCTTTAACGATTCCTCTTTGTTTTAAAAGTACCCGAGAAAGTACAGAAATAATGATTAGACATAGAAGTCTAGTTGTCATATTCAACAGTGATTTTCTGATATTTATGTTTAAAAAAAAAGTGATGAGGAATATTATCTTCAAATTGTTAGCAGCTAACAAATTTCAGAACTGTAAGAAGTTGTGGAGTTATTTTATTACTGTATTTTTTTCTAGTAACTCCACTTTGATTTTCTTGGGGCTTTTTTTTTTTTTTTTAAACCCTCTACCTTTTTTTCTTTCTTCTAGAGTAATTGTGGTCAAAAAATAAAAATTCGTCGTGTTCTTATGAATTGCCCTGAGATTGTCACAATTGGTTTAGTCTGGGATTCAGAACACTCTGACCTGACAGAGGAGGTTATGCGGAACCTGGCAACGCAACTTTATCTTCCTGGGGTATTTGACCTGAAACTAAAAGAACTGCTTATTCTAGAATTTCACTCAACTTATTTTATATATAGATGTATATGTATATTATTATTATTTAACTCCAAAGATTGTTTGCTTCTGGTTTCCTTTATGTGTAATTCCTGATGTAGTTTTTGTGAGAGAGAAAAAAAAAAATAATGCTGATCTGAGACCTAAGTACAAAGATGAATGTTGGTACATTTCTGATCGATTTGTTGTTCAATTTTAAATTTGCAGAATTGCTTTTGAGAAATACCGATTTGGCCTATTAACTGTTTGAATATAAATGCTTTAGCAGATCTAGTAAGTGTAAGAACCATTATTTAATTAATTAAAAACAATATAATCCAAGAGGATATTTAATACAGCCTTGGTAAATTGCAGCGGAAGTTTTAGATGTTAATGCTAGGTATTTTACATATATTTAAAATTATTTTTACAGCTGTTTTATAGGGTTACAGATGAAAATGCCAAAAATAGTGAACTTTTTCTTGTGGGAATGATTTGCTACACAAGCCGACATTACTGTGCCTTTGCCTTTCACACCAAGAGCTGCAAGTGGGTGCTGTTCGATGATGCTAATGTAAAAGAGGTAAATTTTGCTTTTACTGCTACCAGATCATTACTTTCTAGAATGGATTCTTCTGACACCAGGCTTGAATCAATAAATGTCATTATTTTCGTAAGTCTTTATTATCATTAATCAGTTTTTACAAATCAATTTTAGAATTGATTGCACCACTTTACAGTCTGTTCTCCAATTTTGTGCATTTGAAAATGTTTGTATAGTTCCTGTTTATTTTCAAATTCCTCTTTAGGAAAAAGAATGAAAAAAAAAGATTTGCAATGACTATATTCATAGTGTTGGTGTTTGGATTGCTAACCCGTGTAAATGCTGATGTTGGCTTCTTGCTACAAGTTGTAAGAACGTGAATGCTAGAGTGTTGAATTTTAATGTAGCTTTTTGAATTAGGCATTCAGTAGCTGTAGATTATTTAATTATCTTTTCGTTAATTGTGTTCAATGACTTTGATGCAAATAGAATATTTTTTTTTCTTAGCTTGGAACGAAATGGAAAGATGTGGTCTCCAAGTGTATTCGATGTCACTTTCAGCCGTTGTTGCTATTTTATGCTAACCCAGATGGCACAGCTGTATCTCCAGAAGATGCTCCAAAGCGAATTATTCACTGTTCTCAATACAAAGCAGCAGGAGGAAATGTGGATGACCTGGGTAATTTTTTTCTTTATTAACAAAGCACTCTCAATTATATTTATAAAATGGGAATTATTCAGGAGGAGTAACACCTTAGCTGCTTAACTCTCAGATGTCCTTTTTGAATAATTGTCTAAAATGTCTCAAAAGATTAGTGTGTCCATTTTTAATCTGAGAGTTGTCTATTTTGCATCTGATAGGGCAATACTTGAGTCACATGGGAAATGAGGAAGGAAATTATATTCTGTTGTACAGTGTTTAATCATTGTTAAAGCTCTGTGTAAAATAGTTTAACTGGTATGTATGTACTTGTGTATTTAGAGCATACACATACTATGAAATAAGTATTTTAAGTAAATAACTTTACTAAATAAGTATTTTAATGTAAAATACATTTGTATTTTATATAAAAATATTGACATGTGAGTAGGTATATGCATATCTCTGTACAGATGCAGACACTGAATGCCAATTCAGAACTTCAAGAAGAAATGGAAGCTGTGGGAAACTTAGATTATATTAGTTTCTTGTATTAGAAGCCTCAGCATGTAACAATTCAATTCTTTGGTATTATGGTTCCTACCTCTCTCTTTAACATTAACATAGAAATAAATAAATAAATAAAACAAATTACATTTGACATACTCTTCACATAATGAGCTGCAAAGGAGTAGAAGTTATCCCCTTGCAGTATGCCATTAAAAATATTGACAATCTTTTCATATTTTTGAACTTAAATGTTGAGAAAGTTAAATTAGGAAGCATGTCATTTCTGCATATAGATATTCCTTTGATAGGATTTGAAAAGCAATCTGCTCCTAAACCAGACCACATGAAAGAAAATGGAGTTGGAGACCCTGCTAATCAAAAGAGTAATGGAAGGAGGCTTCTGCCTAGGAGTGTTTTCATATTCAGGCTAGTGGTGGTAGAGGTCCGGGTATGTACTTATTTTGCTTTTATGTTTTTCCTCCAGATTCATGGCTTACTATGAAGTTATTTCAGTGAATAGCTTTTTAGATGTGTCTTAACCTTCAGAACAGAATTATTTCTAAAAGACAATTCCAACACTCGTTTTAGTGCATCTATGAATAGCAACTAATGGTTAGGTAATGTCTGTCATGGAGTATTAACTTTTCTGTTATATGTCTATCTATATCTGTATTTATTAAAAGACTGTCACATCTTACTCCTATTCTAAAGCATTTTTTGAGATTTTGGTCTATTTCACAAACATTACCATGCCTTCTAAGTGTATTGTCAATTAAAATGTATATTAAAAAAGTTGATTTGGTCCTGTGGTAGAAGTGGTTTGACTCTGTGATCATTAGCTATTTGAGGAATGCTGTTTCACTCCAATATTGTCATAGACACTGTTATTTTTACTCCCATAATTTAACTGACTTTTATGTTTAGAAAGAATAGTAAAGAAGTTAGGCTTTACTCCTATTTAAAAATCCATTCTATCTATAAATTAAATTTCCAAACAAAGCAAGCTATAAAAAGTCCTATTGGGGTGATTTTTGTGTTACTTGCCTTGGGCGTCTGCTCCGAACTCCTTATATTGTTTAAGAAGAGAGATGATGGTAATTCTTTAGAAATCTTCTCTTCTGTTTTTAGTGCAGAATTCCTAGACTTTTTCAGGCTGAGAATGCTCAGCTTGACAGCTCTCCCTTTTGATGAGGTGAGGACCCAGAAATGGTATTGGGAAATGTTAATGATAAGTTTGCAAGATGTGCCTTTGTAAGACAGGCTTGACTAAATGCTGGTTTGTTTGCTTTTAACGGGTATGTTTTTTGGACTGCTTGTATGTGTAACATAAACTTTACATTGGGTTAGGAATCTGTGGTATATAACTTTGTAATCTTTTTAAGAAATATTAAAATTTTATGATACATAATTATGATTGTGTTTAATCATCTTTGATCTTTTTAATAATTAATTTTCACAAGTGAAATACTCTCTTTGCAGCTAAGTTAAATTACAGTGATCAAAAGGACAGGCTAAAGGACCTATCCAGAGAGTGTGCTCAGAAAGCTGCCGATATGAAAAGCTTCTCATCTTTCCGTAAAGATGCAGACAGAGGACTGAGAAAAGAATCTGGGAGACAAAGAGGTATGCTTTGAAAATATGAATGGAGCATAAATGTGTTCAATAGGTTTATAGCATCAATACCAACTGTATTATTTTATTTTCCTTTTAAGAGAAGTTCATAACATTAGAGGGTTTTCTTTAAGTTTGAGATAAAGAAAAATATGTAGTATAATGATATTCAAGTTAATAATTAACACAAACATTAATGGAGCTTTTTTGTTTGTTTGTTTTTGGTTTTTCCCTTGTAAGATTTGATTGTGGAAGATCGTTCCAGTTTTAAGTCAGGGTCTCCTCCGGCTGGAAATGGACTTAGACAATATCCTGATCAGCGGATATACAGCAGCCAGGGAAGAGGACCATATAAGCATGACAGTGCAGCTCATCAAGCCAAGCTTTCTGAACAGGTGCTAGGATCAAACAAAACAGAAGCTTTTCCTGCTGGAGGGAAGGGGATGGTAAGGATCCGGACTGATGGTGTCACTGGCTATGACACAGACAGCAGCCAAGACTCGAGGGACAAAGGAAGTATCAGCAGCAGCAGAAGCCGAAGTAAAGGCTGGAAGCCCATGCGGGAGACACTCAATGTAGACAGTATTTTCAGCGAGGCTGAGAAGAGGCAGCATAGCCCAAAACATAAAGCAAATCTAAACAGTAAATCTAAGCATGAAAAAGAGCGGAGCTTTAACCACTGGCCAAAAGAGAACCAAGTCCAGAAAGGTTTAATGACTATATACGAAGATGAAACAAAACAGGATACAGGAAGTCGAAGTTCTTTGGATTCAGAGGGAAAAGGAAATGCTGAAAAAAACAAAGGATTTACAGAGAGAAAAATCCATGGTGATAACTGGCAAATGCAGAGGACAGAATCGGGGTATGAAAGCAGTGATCATATCAGCAATGGATCTGCAAATCTGGACTCTCCTGTTATTGAGGGGATCAGCCCAGCGGATGTCAAGAACATTAAAGAAAGTGTTTCCTGCAGGTAATGCTAATGCTCTTCATAGATTGTCTTAACAGAAAAGTGAGTGTTCTAATCTTCATCTGGTGTTCCAATTGCAGTTGAGAACACATGCTTCTGGAACTTTGTGTTCTTTCTACACAGAAAACTAGCAATATATCTGCAGCTGTACTTCTAGATAACTTTGTTTTGATTCTACTTACGCTCTGAGGCTGCAGGACTATTTAGTCCTGTCTGGAAAGCATTGACCAACATTGTTATGGCACTGAGCCAGAACTACTAAATCCTGCTGAGGGGGCCCAGTATGCTAATTTGGAGTAATTGCTACTTTTTTTTTTCTTTTTTTTTTTTTTGAAGACAGAAAACTTTTTATTTTGTCATCTGTAATTTTTTTTTTTAATGCCCCATGGGATGCCCAAGTGTTGATTGCATGCTATTGTATAAGAGAGAACATGGTAGGTTTTAGTAACTGAGTTCATTATGAATCTGCTTTCGCCATGGGTTAAATATTATTCAATGTAGGGGGAAAAAAAGCATCTTTTATCAAAATACAAGTGGACCATTCACTTTCAGAAAGATGTTGCATGATCAAGTATGCATAAGTTAACTGGCAATAATACCTGTTGGTTTCCTTCTAACCACATAAATGAAATGCTTGCAATTTCTTTTAGAAAGTGGAAAAAAAAGACATATTTTTGTTTTCTATTAGGTTATTTCTCCTTTCTTCCTGGTTCTCTCAGTATTTTTCTTATTTTTCTGTCCTTTCAGTGAGAGACATTCTTCAACGTAAAATTGGCACTGTGTATCTTCGTAAGGGCAAAGATCTTCCCCTTCCCCTTGGAGAAGGCAGGAACTAGCTGGGTGTTTGTCAGCTCCTTATCTGGGTTGATATCGATAATGCCCATTTCTTGCTTGACTAAAACAGAAAAATTTAGGAGACTAGAAAGATTTACTAAGTCTGAGTCTGGTACTCTAGCTTTCCAGAATGAATTTGAGAAAAAAAAAATCCTCAGAAGACAAAGGGTCAGTCACAACTTAAAGGAGTGATGTGTGCTGCAACATGTGGTGATAATGAGTAGCTAAATGTCCAGCTAGGAGGATGGCAAGCTAAAATGTTAGCTAACAATTTTCAGGTACTTAAGATATTGATGAGACTTTTGCATTTTTAGAAAACTTAGGCTTGTCCTAGTCAGATACTGACATATGCTTAATCTGGAGATAATCAGGGTGTAAACTATTAGCACTGAAATGTGGGTTTGTTTTGGACATGGGCGGTACTGATGGTAAGATGGAGGCCATGTGTACTGTTTAGGTAGTATTCTTTTGTGGAGTTTTAGCAGGGGGAAATGTAAGGGACGTTTTTCAAACAAATGAATTTGGATGCCCAGTGCTAGCTGTGCCTTTAAAAATCTTTTAAAAAATGTATATATATTAAAAAAAAAAAAAACCCCACCCTGTACACGCTGTCAAGCTTTTGATTTTTCTGTCAGTGAGCACTTCTTGAAATTCTTAAGCTTTCATTTTGTATCAAACGAAAAAGTGCAGTTGGCAGTTCTTTCTCATGTGGAGTACATTATTTTTGTGTTAACTTTGGTCTTTATTAAGGAGAGTGATATGCTACTAAAAGATGAATTTTGTTGGCCCTTATGTGCTGTTTATTAGGCATTTTGCTGTTACACTGGATAGGGCTGCCAGTCCATAGAGCAAAAGGAAAGCACAGGCTTCATAAGGTCTTTTATTTTCTTGGCCACATTAGGGAATTCAGCTGATCTGAAATTTGGGTATTTTAGCACAGCCTGCCACATGTGCAAACTGCATTAAAAATATTTAAGGATTACCCTACCAACTTATCTCACATACAGGCCATTTTTAGCAAAGTGTCATGGAATGATGAAAAGCCAGGTCAATTTTTCACATAGAAAGGCAAAATTGGTATTTTTAAAGCTTGGAGTATTGCATGCATAATGTTTGCGGTCATGTATTATTAGTTCAAGCTTTCAGATAGCACGTGTGCTTATTTTACAGTGACCAGAACTTGTCAACTAGGAAAACTGAAAACATCTTACATTCTGCATCCCAGCAGAGCAGAAACTACTATGGTAAGAACTTAAATCCCTATAAAGAACAAAAATTTTTTTTAAACTTTCTTTTTTTTTTTTTTTTTTTTAGGAGGTACCAAAACTTTAATACTAGTATATTAATATCACACGAGAGACGGGAATGTTCCTGACTGGCCTTTTATTATATAATCCTGTTTTTTAAACTTACCATGATAACATTTCATAAAATCTTGTCATTATGGTGCATGTGTATTTTTTTAATATAGCCAAATATTTTTGGAGTTAATCTTTATTTACATGAATCAAGAGTGGAATCTGTGTAGAATTGGTCGCTCTTTAGGTTTTACAGTGTTAGATTTCTGGTAGAGAAATGTCTGTCTGCTAGAGAGATGTCTTTCTCGCAGACAATGTAGCCTGCACGCTTTGTCCTTTAAGAAGGGCAAAGAAAACCTTTTTTCCCTTTCTTCATAGTAAATTATTAATTTTGTTGTTGTTCGCATCTTTTTAACCTTTGTGCTGAATTTAAACCCGACTGATGAATAAAGATGGAAATAAAACCGGTGCTCATGTCCCGGCTTGGTGTACTTTGATGGAGGGAGCAGCAGTTCAATAACCACGTCATTCTGTTCAGGGTGCTGCTCAGTCTGCTGTTCCACAAGCACCATCATTTATTTGGCTTCTTCCTTTTTCTTTAGGTCAATGGATTCCTAGCTATCTAACCTATTATAGCTAGATTCCAAAAGAGGAGGGTTTTTTTTTTTTTATGTGCTCCACCATCATGGAAATAAAATAGCATTAAACCAGTGGCAGCAACGTAGCTGCTGCTTCTGCCCCGAGCAGCGAACCTCGCAGCGGAGATTTATCTGCTCGTGGCACCTCCCTTCCCGCCCTGGGTTGCCGCGGAGGGCCGCGCGCTCCTCAGCACCTGCATCTGCCTCTAGCAGAGACCTGACCCGCTGGGGATCTTTGCAACACTTCGATATATGGGATTTCAGCGTAGCCTGGAGAAGTCCCAGGTGGGGTTCGTGTGTCTTTAAGAATTAATGCTTAGCAAGTCAGGTACAATGTTTCTTCCCGAGACAGAATAAAAGCCCTGGTGTGCTCTGTTACAAAGTATTTGCTTTTACAGCTGATAGAGCAGTTTATCCTTTCTCAGGCACTTTACATACAGCTGCCTCCTTGTTGGGGGGGGGCGATGTTTACCTACTGTAGCTGCTGGAAGTTCTCTGTGTAAGAACTGGGAACGGTGCTCTTCATCCTGCCAGGGATTTTGGCTGGCCCTATCCTGACACAAAGCATTGAGTGAAATTCATTTTCCTTGCCCTATCAGGGCCTTCTCCTTAATCCAGCACAAGTGATTAAGTGCACATCTTCATTTTTGTTGCATGTGTTCTGCTTTTCAGAACTCATTCCTCATTTTCTAATGATGATTTTTAGCAAGAGGATGTTTTTGAAACAAATACCCCACACCCACGGAACGTAATCCCAGGCACTCATTTGCTGTGCTTCCCCACAGAAACTATTCGGTGAGGGTTTTTTGGTACGTACAAAGAGAGATTATTAAAGTACTTGTGTAGAGTGTGGTACCATTTATTTTCTTTTAAGAGATGAAGCGATATCAGGAAGAGACACTTGTAATAAGGAAATCTATTTCCTTTTACATATTAATATGTCTGCTAGATTTTTATAAATTTGACAAATGCTTCAGCATATAAATATTGCAGGTCAGCAAAAGGCCAGCCAAAATCACTATCTAGTGTTGCTGAAACAATACAATGGTGCTTGTACAAAGAGTCGTAATAAATATTGGACCACTTCCCCAGGAAGTGTTTGATTTTTATAGATACCATACTTCTTTTCAAATAGTGTACAGTATAGCTTTTCCTTAGACTTAAATTCCGTGTTTTCTTTTTCCATATCACTGTTATCATTTCTGCTATTTTTTGTTGCTGTTGTAAAGACAGCTAACTTGTTTTTTATTTATTTTTGTAACAAATCCCTCACCCGAGACCTTTTGATGTCTGGCCTTTTTTTGAGTGCAAATATTTGAATGTTTTTCTTGATATTTAATCTGCTATACTTCTATCCTTACAGTTTTTAGCCTATCAATGAAAAAATGGATGGAAAAAAGAAAAAGGTTAAGGACTGTCAGAACAAAAAAATATGTGGTTTCAAGCAATATTTGGCCTTTTAATGAGTATTCTGTGGCGTTTACCGTGCAATGGACTAACATACTTTTAACACATACTTTGAACACTTTTAGTGTGTATTGTAGATGCTTCTTCAAAAAAACATTGATTCCAAGTGATCCTTAGATTTATCATAAAATGTTACTATAATGAATGTCTCAAACAGTGATAAATCCCATCTATTCAGTAATACCAATTCAGTACTAAATTTTTAAAAGGTCATAACAAAAACATGTATCATAAGTGAAATATGGATTTTTCAAGTTTTTGCATAATTTTGGAAGATAGTACTTTTAGCATAAATGGGCTGAGTGGGTACTGTCACTTGGCTGAAAAGATAGTACAGAATTTGATCAGCTCACATGCTCGTAGGGTTGAGGACTTCTGTAGACTCAGTTACTTGGCTGTCTAAAAGCTGTGCCGAGGCATTACCCACATAGTCATTTAGGAGCAGCAACTCAATTGCTCTGTGCCATATCTCTGAGTGCTATGAACGAGGCATGAACTGTTAGTTTAAATACCATATAAATTCCTAGAAATTTCTAAAGATTCCTCTCTTTTTCATAGGGAAGCAAAGTTGAACTTTTAGCAGTGCCCATGATTTCCATCTCCGTGCTTTACTGGTGCCTTAATTTTAATAGGAGCTGAATAAGCTGCTGCGCAGGAGCTGGAGCTGCCCTTGCCTCGTGCAAGGGGGCTCCTTGTCGCGTTGCAGACAGCAGCGCTGACTCACGCCGCGGCTATGCGGGGCGCGTGAGCGCTGCCTCGAGCCAGCGGCACTAAGCAGTAGGCTCCTGGAATTCCGCATCAGGTGACCGGGATGGCCATTTTGTAATTTGCGTGATCAATTTTGGCATGAAAATGTAAGCATTAACCAAGCAAACATGGTTTTCTTAATCTATATTAATAGCCAGCTGTTAATGAAGCTTGAGCTTGGAGGTTAACCACTGTTTGTAATGAGCTCGTGGCGTGAACAGTGAGAGGGTGAGGCTTTCCTCCTGGTTTAAAACAAACCAAGAAAACAACATTAAAAAAAAAAAAACCCACACAATCTAACAAACCTGTCTGTTCAAATTTCTCCCGTGTAGAAAGAAACAAATGTCTTGAATTTGCAAAGCAGTGTTCGTAACATCGGAAATCCAGAGGTTTCTCCATTAATACTTGTGGAGTCCAATCACAGAATGCTTAAGGTTGGAAGGGACCTCTAGAGTCCAATAACATGAGACAATTCCAATCAAATTCTGGAATCTTCGTGAGACTCTAGTGAATAAGTTAAAAAAAAAAAAAAAAAAGTCTAAATCCTTTACTTCTTGGTCTCTTCAAACAAACAACCAAACTCTCCAAGCCCATAAAACATAATTCTGGAAAAGAGATAACTCATTGTTTTTTCTTCAGGGAGACCATACTTAATAAATTAAAATCATGTGCAAGCATATTATTTCTCCAACAAAAGCCAGTTATTAACCTTTGTGGTGCAGCAAATGTGTATGACTGTCTTGTGTGAAGAACAGAGCAGTTCTTGAAATTTAATTTACTTGACATATAAAACAAGAACAAAAAATGCCCTTCTAGAGTGTCTTTAAATGATAGATTTACTGTTATTCTGGACAAGCATAGCTAATGGATAAATCAAGCAGGCTGGGGTACCTGATCAGCTAAAAGTCTTCTCAAAAAATAGCAGAAAGGCTAAGAAGGGAGAAATGGTTTAGTGATGTTTAATCCTGACAAACCAGAGGGCAGCACAAATCTATCCATGCCCCTGTGACCCCTCAAAATAATTCTGGCAGTACATGTGATCTATTTTAATAAAATGTCTGGTTGTGTCAAGAAAATAATGGGGAGAGCATAGCCTCTCCCCAAACACACCTCTGCTGGTAATGCCCAGAAAGACAAGCATAGAGATTTAAATAAACTGTAGGAACAAAACTTATGGTCTTGCCATGTATGAGGGTGCCGAGGAAAGCTGCACTGGATTTGAAGAAAAAAGGGAAGCAAAATATTCTCTGGGTGTTGTTAAGCTTTGTGAAATGAGTTTCACCTGATAAGCTTTCTATGGGTGATACAGAGATCAGCCCGAAGGGAGGCTCGAAGCTGATGTTTGGTAAAGTGTTCTTTGCTTTACTTAAGCTAACGCCTATGCAAGCACCCAGAAAAAAACAGTGGAGCTTTGACTTTTATTTTTTTGTCCAGATGCTTAAAGCAAAAGGAGAACCAGGTATTAAGTTACAAGAATTGTTTGGCCTGTGCTCCAGAAGGTGTGGGGGGTTTGTTTTTTCCCCTGAATATTCCAGTTTGGGCAAGCTGTAACGTGTTTACCTTCTAGGCTAGGACTGCTCTTTTTTTATACCACATTCCCAAAGCTTTCCTCTTAATAAGTTCCTCTGCCCCTTCAATTGAATGCAGAAAAATATCTGTGGTCAGGAAGAGAAATTTATTATAGCACCTGTTGCCCAAGTGTTACTTCTTGTTTTCTTATTGGCATTAAAAAACATCAGGCAAGTAAAACTGCAGGAAATGAGCAGCTAAAACACAGTGAAAAGGTAATTGACCTTCTTTGTTATGTACAGAAGTTTGACTTTGTAGGATTTTGCAAGTATTTTGCAGGCATTAGAGGATAACTTGTCTCTCTTACCTGTTGGCTATAAAACGGCTCTTCATCTTATAAAAATCTTGATTGTCTACTCATATGTGAAAATGTATGGCTATAAACCTTGAGAGCAGCCTGGTTTGTATCTGAGAAAACGAAGTTACCTGTAACCCATTGGTAAGCTTTTAATGATCAGTTTATAGGAATGTCAAGTGTCCAGCTGAACTCACCATGAGGCCCCTATTCCACATTTGCAAAGAACCTAGAGCCAAAATTCCCCGCAGAGTCTGTCTCTGGTTTTAACCATGCATGGCTTTCATGTCAGCAGAGAGAAAATAACACGTCTATTTTTAAGTTAGCTGGAATTCTGAAGGCACAAACGGCCCCGTGTCACCGAGCGGCGCCGCTTGAGCGGCCGCCAAGCTCCCGCTGCGGGAGCGGCCGCCTGGCCTTTGCTGCCGCCTCCTGCCCGCTCAGCGCTGCTGCCTCCTGGAAGCACCTGGTTCAGGCTGAATTCTGACGGGTTTGGCTCGGGCTGTTGGTCAGATCAATCACTTTGTGGAATTAAAGGCAGTTGTAGGGGCAATTTTTCTTTTTTTCTTTTCTTTTCTTTTTTTTTTTTTTTTGTAGAAATGTTCTGTGTAAAGATTCTTGTACTCCCAAGTTTTCAAGTTAAAAATCTCATCTTCAGCCACTGCTGAGAAAATAATTTAGCTAATTCCATTCCTTTCAGTTTGCTATGTGATTCTCCTCAGTGTCGTGAGGCCTCTTTCAGTAACCACGTTGTCATACTCATTCTAAAGCTGTGGTAATGTTTACCAATGCTGGAATGTCAAAATTTTCTAGGTTTTAGTTGAAGGAAAGCCTTATCAAAGGCTTTCTCTCTTGACCTGCAGGCCCTTCTAGCCCTTACAATCTCTTTCAGTGTCAGAGATGTAGTTGCTTTGGGCCTTGCTCTAGTAAAGGGTAGGGCAGACATTGTTTCTTAAGGCAAGTCTTTAGTTTCACCCAAGATGTCTTTTTTGTTTGTTTTCTTTATGCAAGCTTGGAAAATCAAACAAACAAAGAAAGTAATTTGCATTGTTAAGGGGACATCTTTCAAAACAGATCTGAACCATTTGTAGCTTTTGTTGATGAAAGTTTGAGGGCAGCATGTAATCTCGTTGGAAAGTGGCGAAGTTATTACTGTCTACTGAACCAGAAATCATTCCAAGGCGGATTAAGGCAAATATAGGCCTCTCTGTGATGCTAATTTTTATTAATCTCAAGTAAGCAAAGTAGCTATATAAAGCTAGTGCATGCGTTTACAAAATCAGTTTTCCTTCGAAAGACCTCAAGGCATTGGTTACTGATTATAATGGTCCAGGCCCTGCATCAGGAGGAGTTCTAGTAATGTCTCTCTAAAAAACATAGATGATTCCTTCTTGCTTGCCATGAGAGAGTTTCAGTCTCATGTTGTCCACGTAGATTGCATTACGATTCCCTTATGTTTGCTGTTAGTAATAAGCTTTGTAGTTCAGGAATTCTGTACTTTTGAAGAAAGATTCTTTGGTTTTGTCCTTGAATAGACAGGGCTTTTGGAGTGCGAGCGCAGCAGGGCGGCCTCAGGCACTCGTGCCCTGTGCGCAGCGCACGGGCTCGCTGACCCTGCGCTGCTGGCTCCACGTCTTCAAGAGCAGCTCAGGTCCTGTAAGACATGCAAGGGTTCTGCGCTCTTTTATTTTCACTATGTTTCAAGGACTGCTTAATGCATTCCTTAAAAATAAGGAAGTCCTTGCAGGATTCATGCTGTTTCATTAGAATTAAATCATGTGAAATTGGAACAGTTAATATATTTATTTTGTAGTCTAGAATATTTATTTTGTGAATTTAAATAATTAAATGCACTTGTCAAAAAGTGTGCTTTTAATTAGATGAAATGTTAAAAAGATCTTAAACTCATTTACAGGACATCAAAACTGTTTTCAGGTCACACTTACGAAATATTGAACATTTCTTCTGAATTATTTTCAGAGGATCTGATTTAATGTGAAAGATTTTCTTCAAAATGTTCCTTTTAACTACATCAGATATTAGCAAAAATCTGTATCCTATGCTATGGTGCTTTGTTTGTGTAATTTAGGGTATTTCCCAGAGAAGATTTTTCTTTTTTTGTCATTTTTTAAAAATTTATTTTTTCCGCAGCCCCAGACTTGAGGAAAGACCAGATAAATGCAGAAGTTAGCTACAGACCTCATGTTAACTTCCCAACAGAATTACATTTTCAGATGCCTAGTCCTCCAGTGAAGAGGTAACTAATAATGGTATTACTTTACTATGTAATATTTTAAAGAATGTCTCTAGTATGTGATAGTAATCATTACTAAGTACATTAAAGTAAAGGAATTAAAGACTTTGACAGATAAAGCCTTCTATACTTTACATAACTGATGTTAAGTTTTCTTTTTGGAAAAATGTTGGAGGCTTAATTTGGATGTTTAGTCAGTGGAACTAAAAAACTTTATGTTGTTTTAAAGCATCTCATTCTGAGCAAAGGACCCTATTATTTTTCTGTTTTGCATTTTGTGATATAACAGGTAGTGGTTAGACAAGTTAGTTATTGAAATGTTTTGCTAAAAGGGAGGAAAACAAGTTCTGTTCAGGAGGTTGCTGTTATAAGTGCCTACTACTTGCTAAAAATTAAGAACTTAAAAGCTAGCTGAACATTGAAAAGTAATATTTAATACTTTTTAAAAAAGGATGCATCAGACGGAGTCCCAGGGATCCTTAGACAAGAACGGGGTTTGTATTTGATGTAGTCCTTAATTTTGATTGCATTTATCTTTCCTTGGAGAAACTGAATCTCTTGAATTGCTCTTCTTTGGGCACTCTAAATTTCAAATGAAAGAAAACTTGAAGGGATTTGATACAACTTATAGCCAAAGGGATCTATGTTACGCACCTCTTTAGTCAACTACAGAATATTTAGACGGTGTTACTACAGCTGTCACTATATATACTCGAGCTATTTGTGCTTTTTTATAATTTAATAGTTTTACAGCTGCTTACCTCAATAACTATATGCTTTTATATTTTAGAGCTGACAGGCCTGAGACCAATAGGAAACTTTTCCCATCATCAGCTCTACTACCAGTTTTTAAAGACCACATTAGGACAGAAAGTAGGAACAAAGCAAACGAACAAAACACTTCAGAGTGGCTTAATCCAGACAAGTTTGAGAAGACAAATGTGCCAGTATATTGCACCGACGGCGTAGCCCGCCCTTACACAGAAAACATCTGTGGAAGGAGGCTGACCACCAATGACTTTCACTCCTCTTCTCAGCCGCAGCCTCATCCTGCAAGAACTTTTGGCCCCAAGTTGGGCTTGTCGCCTTTGGTGCCCCAGCACCTGTCGGACCTGCCTGCCGAGCTCCCCGCTCCCAGCGAGCACGCCGGGCACCCGCTCCGAAGGGGGGATGCACACTGGGTGCCTGAAGCTGTTTACCAGAATCTCCCTCCCCCTTTACCTCCAAAGAAATATGCTCTGAATATTTTGCCAGGATCAGAAAATAGTTCAGCAGCAGATGTAAAATTGACAGATGTCTTGCAAAATAATCTCGGAATGCAAGCAGCTACACCTTTAAAACCTACATCAGAAGCAAATGTATTTACAAGCGAACAAAGGTTTAAAGAGCCATTCCAAGGGAATGAGCTGCTTGTTCATAAACCAGATTCACCACCTAGCTTATCAGTTAATGACTTTTGGACTGTGTCTGAAAACTTTCTAAAGAAAGGATCCTGTCATGCAGGACCAAGTGCTAGCTATGCAGATGCAAACGACAATGTATCTCTAACGACTTACTTCTCAGTGGATAGTTGTATGACTGACACGTATAGGATGAAATATCATCAGCGACCCAAGCTGTATTTTACAGACGCTGGAGGCTTTCACAAAGAAAAGCACCCTCCCTCAACTGGACCAGAACTGAGTGCTACCTACCACACCACTCTTGGGCCCGGTCATCCCACATCTGAGCAGAGATACAAGGCAAATGTAGAAGGCATACACTGCAGTAGATAGAAAAGAAATTATCTGGATCTGACTGTTGCATTTCATATAGTTTATATATGGATGGGGACCTTGAGTCTGCTTGTGTCATAAGCAAGATATCAGCAACTGGGGACCTGCTTTGGAGCTAGGACTGTTTCAGTGAATATGCAAGTAGAGGTGAAGAGAGGAGAAGAGGTGCTAAGCTCACGGTTCTTTGATATGTTACTCTTGTTGCCTTAATGTTTACCTCCATTATTTGGCTTTGTTTTTTACAGTTTATATGGTAAATGGGTCCCTTCAGGTTGTATGTATCCTATAGCATTGGGATCAGCTAGATGTTACTAATTTTTACAGAGGACTTAAATAGTTGCAGCCTAAGGAGTGGTTCCGCCAGACTGCAAACACTAAACAGAACTCACAAATGCTTAGAGTAACAAAAGGATAAGCATACTACCATATAATGCAGTAAATCTAGAGACTAGTATTTTTCCTGGTAGGTAACAGGAGCTCTTACTCGTTTTTCATCTGACTTCTGTGAGAGTCTGTGCTTTCACAAACTTTTAAGTGTCTTTAATACTAGTTTACCCAGAGAATTTATAACTTTGAATTTAAAAAGCCTTAATAATTATTCTTCTAGAACTGTTCTGGTTTGCAAGCGTTAGGAAAGATCTTTTTAAAGGGAATTCAAATAAACCACAATAGTAGAATATCGCATTAATACACCTGTATACATTTTTAAACTAATACACTTATCAGATTTGTTCCCCTATAAGGTATCTACTTTAACTTACTAAAATTCAATTTAACCACAAATTGATGCAGCAGAATAGTATTCAACTGTCAAAGATACATTCTGTAAGGTCCTAGGTATATCGCTACTATTCATGTTCAGTTCAGACTGATTCTCTACTTGCGTGCACAGGCAGCGTTGCTAGTGAACCTCATACCGTTCTCCTGATTAACATTGTGAACTATGCTTAAGGCATCAGACATTCTGATTTTACTGACATAAACCTTTTCCTCCTTCAGAGCAGTTCTACAAATGGTAAGTAGCATCTTGGTAAATCAGGCTGAACCTGCAGCCAATGAGACCGTGGGGTCCAAGACAGTATGAGGAGGAGAGGTTCCTCTCTCTCTGCTCTGCAGAGAAACTCACTCTGCCTCACCATTTTCGCAGCTCGGACATTTATCATGCCTTTTGCAAACCTCATTTATTTCACTAATAAGGAAGATTATCTGGCTTTTATATGGTTAGTGAATTACATCAGTTCACAGAAAGATTGCCCAGTGAGAGGAAGAAGAAAGGAAGGGCAACAGGATTTAACCCTTATGGCAGCTGTTGAATGTTTTGAAATGACCCACCACACCTTGTGGTATCGGAGACTTAGACAGGCTCAGAATTACCTTTCAGTCTACCTTCATGGTGAGCCATGTACTCTGCAGAAGTAGTGTTAGCAAATCCTGAATAACACTGTCTGTAAAAACTGAATCTTGCAATTATTTGTATTTCACTTAAAATTCAGGTGGTGCTGATTACATCTACATGTAAATGCCTTTTAGTTATAAAACTAATACCAGAAGGTTAAATATGCACGATAAGCACTCTTGCTTATGCTTGCACTGTTGGTCATAAAGGCTTTCATATGTTTATGTATCTTATGAGAGTCCTAGTACTTCAACAAAGTGTTGACAATTGTTTTAATGTGATTATCCAAGGTATACATCTGAACATTAGTTTTGGTTACTCTGTTAAGATCAATTTTTATAACTACTTGTAATGTATAGCAAAACTGGAACATGATATATGCAAAAATCAGGTATCTTAATGAACCTTATTTCTACCTTCTTGCTCAAAACTACTTCTAGCACTTAAAAAATGAATTCTGGAATTTGTAGTGCTAATATTCAAGTAGTTCTGCATGTTTCAATATGTTTGCTAGTAAATGGCAACCTAAGAAAACTATCCTTTCATAAGAAACTCAGTTAAACAGAGAAAAAATATTGAATGTGTAAGAATTTGGAAGATTCCTATATATTTTTGGAACGGATTTGAAAACTTGTTTTAAAAAACCTTTTTTTTCTAGTTTACCCCCAGTAATGTTACACAATATGCATAGTCAGTTAAGTAAAGCTATCTTCTAATACTTATGTAAAAATGAAGATTAGTATTGGAATTTGTATATAATGTATAATTTGTAAAATGTTTGCAAAAATCCTGTATTTGAAATGACAGTATTTTTATGTATAAACAGCACAGCCACTACTGTGAATTATGATGTTAAAAGTTATTTTTAAACATGCATAGTAATGTTAATACTTCTGTACAATGAGCAATATGAATGCCTATTACTGATACCAATGATTCTGGTTTCCAGTAAGCACAACTGGTAAACTTAGTGATTTTTAAAGTAGCTGCAGTAATTCAGATGTACTTCAGTCTCTTTGCTTTGCCTGAAAGAAATCTTGCTAGACAACTTTTTGTGACCTGTGTTTACCAGGTATTTAATAGTATATAGACAGCTATTTGAGACACCTTTGTTTTTATATTTGAATCTGCACTCCATATATGTATGTAATATTTGCTAACCAATATGTGATAACCTGTTTTGACTTAACTAGGGTGCCTATTTATTTTTTTATAAATGTGTCCCCTTCTGGCTATAGATTTGTATAAGAGCCTAGATAATTTTTGTAACGGTAAATACATTTAACAAGTCTTGTAATTAATATATTTTTCAGTCTTTAGAATTATTTTCTTGCAAAGTTCTGCTTGTTCAAACTATCAGATAAAGTTTAAAATATGTTCTCTTGTGCTTTCTTTGTACTCTTATTTTCTAAACAATTCTGATTTCTAGGATTATGTTTTGACCCACTGACAGACGATACTGCTAGTAATGATTGAAAGTTTTGAAGAGATGGTGGCTCAAGCTATTTTATTGGAATAGCTAGTCAAATTATTCTAAAGAGCTATGAAATGCATAAAGCAATCACACTACCCTAATCCCCCCATTGCTTGATTAGTTATCCTGGGCGTCTTTCTGACTTACCAGTTTTGTTCAAAGAGTGAAATTTACCTGGGTATACACCTTCAAGTGCTCCAGGAGTGTATGAAATAGAATCATAGAATCACAGAATGCTTAAGGTTGGAAGGGAATAGCTCAATGCATCTGTGTCTGCTTTTGTTACCTTTATTTTTTTCTAACACTCCTTAAAACTTCTGTCATACCTGACTAAATGAGCCAGAATCTTTTCTGGAAAAAAAAAAATCTAGCTTTCCAAAAGCTATTCCATCAAGCTGCATTCTTAGCTGTCTGTCAGATTCACAAAGGAGAAGTGGAGCAATGTTACAGTGCCTTCCTGATACATTGTTCCTTTGAGATTACAGTATGAAAACTTTGGTTTGCAAGGGGGGAAAAGACAGAAATATGTATGAGTAACAGCAGTCAGAAATATGAGCAATCTTGTACTTTTTTAATGACTTCATTTGAAAAAACATTGCTATATATGAAAATATGATCAACCACAGCTCAGCTTTTTTTTAAGCATTGTGCAGCAGTGGTTTCATCAGTGTTTCCAATCCAAAGTACTAGCAGATCAAGGCGTTTCAGTCCTTAGAAAAGGGTTGAATTTCTCATCCTACAGGTGTGACAACATGAAAATAATGTTCTATTTTGACATGATCTATTTCAAAAGGTACCTGCCAAAGTGCTCTGCACTCATGCACTCTGCCATAAAAGACAACGGTAGAATAGAAAACCACAATGGTGGCATCCACGTCACAATTAACTTCTTGAAGGTAGAGCAGTAAGTAATAACAATTTGCCTATAGAGAAAAGGGTTCAAGTTGCAACTTCAGTCTATACAAGAGCTGTATTTTACTCTCAACCTCTCTACTGTCTGTTCTGTTATTTTTTTTTAAATAGTACATATTTCCATTTAGACTTAACAAACATAGAATCGTAGAATGAATCATAGAATCGTTAATGTTGGAAGGGACCTCTAGAGCTCATCTAGTCCAGCCCCCCTGCACACGCAGGGTCACTTAGAGCACGTGGCACAGGACTGCGTCCAAGCAGACTTTGAAGATCTCCAGGGAAGCAGACTCTACAACCTCTCTGGGCAGCTTGATCCAGTGCTCTGTCACCCTCACTGTTAAGAAATTTTTTCCTTAAGTTCCTGTGGAGCTTTTGGTGCTTCAGTTTGTGGCCATTACCTCTAGTTCTGTCAGTGGCCAGCACCATCCTCCTCACTCGCTCCCTGGACACTCAGGGATCCCCTCTCAGGTCCCCTCTCAGCCTTCTCTTCTCCAGGCTGAACAGGCCCAGCTCCCTCAGTCTTTCCTCATAGGGCAGATGTTCCAGGCCCCTGATCATCCTTGTAGCCCTGCGCTGGACTCTCTCCAGCAGCTCCACATCCCTCTTGTACTGTGGAGCCCAGAACTGGACACAGTACTCCAGATGTGGCCTCACCAGGGCTGAGTAGAGGGTACATTTAGGTACTAATTGCAAAAACACAGTTAAACTGTTTTATAGTACATTAAGGCACAGTTTAGAGTAAGGAGGAAAAAAAAAAAAAACAGGATATGGATGGCCCTAAAACCCAAAACAATGTTGCTTGTGCTACACCCAGGGTTATGATGTGATTAGCACACGTATAAATATGTATATACAGTCTTTTGAATTCAGGTGCAAGTTGAGTCCCGGTCCTCGTTGCTTGTGCTGCACACAGTGCTCATCTTCCCCTCCTCCTTCCCATAAGGAGCAGTGTGGCGAGGAGGCGAGGCTCTAAAAGAACAAAACATCTCTATTTTTGCACTCTGCAAGATATAAAAGCATAAAAAACACAAAGCATGGGTTCAGATCTAAGAATAGTTACTATTTTCTTAAACAAACAAGTTGCTAGATACCTGGAAGTATCGTTACGTTTCCCCAGCAGCCCCTGGCAGCCCCAGGGCTGCCCGAGGTGCCTCAGGCACTCCCGAGAGCGAAGGCCGCGTTCCC